TCTGTGAAAAAAAAAAAAAAAAAAAAAAAGGACATCTGGAAATATTCAAATATTTGTATTAAGTTACATTTTTTCCAACCCACTATTAGAAAACACACACAATTTCCACAATATTAGTATTTATAAATATGTAAACTTAGCATAAGAGAAACATTTCAATTTGTACATTTATTTGTAGAGTGTTTTTTACTATATCATTCCAAAAAAAAACGTTAAAAAAATAGTTAATTCTAAAAAAAAATTATAAAAAAAAAAATTAAATACATTTAATAGAAACTCTAACTTTGACAGACTTAATAAAAAATTGAATAGTTTTGTAAAAATACTTTAAAAATATTTATATCTAATAAAATATTTATCTTCCCATTTTGTGTAGCTAACTACCACCTTAAAAAACTGCTTTATTATAGTTTATCTACTGAATCTGGCAAGCCACAGATTCAAAACAGCTTCCCCAACACTGAATCCTGGCAATAGAAAGCTTTGGGGAAATGACTCAATTTACAGACCCATTAATTCAAGCCGAATGCTACTGTATGTGAAAGAGAGACAATGGCAATGTTTTATTGAGCAGAAGCCAGATGAGCCAGGAAGATTAAATGCGGCGTTGATTTCAAAACCGCCTCACAAATCCTTATTTTACGAGCCCTCTTCCACAGCGCGCTGGGATTTTGGAGCGGAGCGCTACTCCTGTGTGTGTCGTATTTATCCCCGTACGTTTTATAATGCCTGCTCTCGTTGTGGAAGGAAGATCAACCGAGAAAGAGGATAAATCTCGTTTGTGGTCTCCTTTCAGCAGTTTGCTCTTCGAAGTCAGCAGCTGCCGGGTTTACAAGGGTTTTGACGGGCGTGAGACTGAGTTTTCTTAGCCTGTGAACGTTTCACTTTTTACAAGGTTGCGCTGTGTGGAGGTGATTGTTCCTCTGAGACCCTGACGCTCAAAGAGCGGGAACACGGTAGCGCTGTGGAAGCGTCTCACAGGAGGAATCCAGAGCAGTAAAACTTACATTTACACAGAAACGCCTGATCCAGAGGCCCTCGTTTATTAGGACTACACCACAATGTTAATATGTTTAGACACAACACACACACTTTAAACCACGTCCTTCTGCTCCAGAGGAATGTGTGGAGGCCCTGAGAGGAGGAAGAACATGCCGGGTGTCCCATATCAAACTCCCTCCTCTCGGGCCACAGATTCTTCTCTGTTAGGACATACAGCTGGACCTTTAGACCTTTGCGTTCAGTATTAAACCACTGTGTCTTAACGGCATTCATGGAGTAGACAGTGTGTGAATTTTTGCGGCCTGGGTCTAACACGCTCACTCATTTAACATGTATTATAATGAGATCTTCGGAGGGTGATAAAAACTCAGTTGAGCCCTAAATATGGCTCCTCGGGGTCGCGTTGTGCTTACATTCTGAAAGTAGACTGGCGCAATTCACATGCTCATTTATCACTATCAATAGCAAAGTAAGGGAACAAGGGGAAGTGACCATTAAGAATATCAGGAAAAGAACACAGTTACGCATAATAGCTCTTCTTGCATTTAACATGGTCATCATTTGGCCCTAGCAGTTATGTTGTAAAAAGCCAAAGCTAATCTTCACCATCTGCAGTTCACCTAAGGGAGCACTAAAAATGCTAAAAGATCAACAATAAGAAAATATAAATATGTAGCATTTGTGTTAAACAGGATACAGCGATTAACCAAAGGCACTTCTGAACAGATGCCCATCATGAGTAAGACTCACAACCCTTATCTGAAAGTTCACATGCTAATGTGAAGTCTGGCGATTTGCTAAGCTAGACCAGGGGTTTTCAAACTGGGATCCAGAGACCCAAAAGATACTTCAAGAGCATTCTAGGGGGTCTGCAGGAAATTTGACAAAAAGATTTGACAAAATTAATTTTAGGGCTGTCAAAGTTAAAGCTGCTTTGAAGCAATATTTAGTGTGCAAATAGCTATACAAATAAGTTTTAGATTTTCTAGTGAAAGAAATACCTAAATGAATAAGAAAGCCAAAATATTAAAGGTCATGGATGTATATTTACTGAATAATTCACTATTTTGTAGAGGGGGGCCAAAATGAACATTTCGATTCAGAACCAAATTACAGGGGGTAATAATGACTTCTGAAAGATGACAGTATCATAATGTTATTTTTACACAGAGATTGGTAAGTCTGTTAGTAAAATCTGTTGACTTTAGTTATCTTTGTAGCATTATGTGCCCTTTGTGACTATTCAAAAATGTAGAAAATGCACTTTTCAAGTTTTTTTGGCCAAAGTTTGCATGCCCGTAACTCAAGAAGTATTAAATATATCCTAATATCCTCTTAGATTTTGGTTCTTAAACTTTTCTTTTGGTATCTTTATTTTGAAATGGTGTGGAAGAGAGTGCTGTTCTCTCACTCCCCCACCTTCATTTGCTGCTGGTACTGAGAATCGAACCTATGGCCTTCGGGTTATAAGTCTGACTCTGTAATCATTAGGCCACAACTATTCCTTTGAAGAGCAAATAATGTTGAAACTAGAAATGTAGCTTGTTCCCCTAAATCAAAATAATTGCAAATGGACATACCTGTCTCAGAGGCAAAAATACAAAGAATGGTCAAGTTGAGGAATATTAACTTAATCTCACAGGTCTATTCATAAGATTTTATGTTTGAATCAATTTTAGGGAAATTTGGAAGAAGGGATTTTTGTTCATTTTAAGTGCTTCTGAAGCTACCAAGAGATTAAAATAGGAGTATTGTATCTACTTGTTTGAAGCAAGTTTCATGTTTAATTAGGGTTGGAGCTAAACTATGCAGGACAGTGGCTCTCCAGGAGCTGAGTTAGCCTAACACCTGTGTTCTAAACTCTGAGTAAATCGAATCGTTGGTATTGCATACATTATACCAGTGGTTCCCAACCACGTTCCTTGGGGCCTCTGGTTGAGTTGACATGGAAGGACTGCAATTATAATTGTAATTCTCTCTTTTAGTTTATTTGTAAAGCACATTTCACTGTACATACTGTTCTAAAACATCTAAAAGTAAAAGCACCTTACAACCCCTAGTAAATTCATTGAAAAGCCTATATTTAAATCCTTATTTTCCTTTCATTCATTCCCAAACTTACATGAAAAAGAGATAGAAATATTTTAACAATAATTATTGATCCAGGATATCAAGAGTTTTCATTATTGCTTAGACATTCATTTTAAAAAGGAAAAAAAAAAAAGAGTCGTGGCATGTTATTGCCTGAAGCATAATGTGAAGAAAGAGCAAATGGATAATCTTTAGGTTTATTAGACATTCATTATTATGATCACAAAACAACACACAATTAGTAGAAATGGTATTTCAAGGACAATATACTGGGAATGGTACACATTACTGTTTCTCTTTGTTCAGTAACTGATGTCTGTGTTTTTCAGGGTTCTCTGTTTTACACATAATGGTGTTGATTCTCTGTGTTTCTGCATCTGGATCTGCACTTCTGCTCTGCTGCCTGGTCTACTGCAGATCACCATATAAAGGTATGTGTAAAACTGGAAAATATTCTTATCAGCTCTAATTCAATGACACCTACTGGTACGAAAATGAAATAATCTTTTGGATTTAGGAATTTAGAAGTTTTTCTTTAGTCTTGTAGTTTGTGAAGTCTGTGGTGGTGAGGGAGCAATATATTGGAGGGGACAAATAGGGAAAATGTTGAGATGCCTACAGTAGATTAGGATTGGGATAAAATTGTAACTTTGTCAGTTGTGTTTAAGCTTTGAAATGGTCATGATTGCTGTGTTATATAAACTATAGAACATGTTGTGGGTGTGAGTATAATGTCCATCATATACTAGCAGTAGTTTGTTTGTTTGTATAATGAGTAGCTCAGATAGGCCAGTGTTGTGATCCTTAATTTATGCAGCATGTAGGACTAATTTGAATGGGTGAGCGGCCATTGAATCTGAAGTTGGTTGTATTTGAAATTTATCAGCAATAAAACACTCAAGCAATTATTGAAGCAACTTTAGTGAGGGTGAGAGAGAGAGGTGTGTGTGTTAATTTATATGTGTGCAAATGTGTATAAGTAAATAATGGCACTGATTCTTGGCAAAATAAAGCTTTATATTACCATAAGTGTGGACTTGGTTTAAGAAAACAGTCAATCCACTTATTTAAGATGTTTTCCCAGGCGGCTTGTGCTCAGCTGGTTGGTAAGCTGGTCTCCTATAACTTGACCAGCCAAAAAGTGTTCAAAACCCATCTAAAATCAATCAACATACCAGGCTGAGAGATCGACTTGTTTTTGTTTTCCCTGCAGGGAAATTAAACATGTTCATTGCCCTTTCCAGTACACAGTTAGTCTGTATAGTCAAAGAATTATAAAATATATGAAACCATTGTTACTTGTATAACTAAAAAGGCGTCATGCAAACATATTTTTATTTTTCAGGTTTCTTTGGCCAGCAAACCTATAACCATTATTTTAAACTGGGATCTTCAGTGGTTTTGCCCTGTCATGTTGATGAATGCTTATTAAAGAAAAAACTGAAGGTGGAATGGAGAAGAAAAGACACTAAGATGCTGGTTCATCTGTATCAGGATGGAGAGAGTCAACCAAAGAAACAGCACAAAGATTATCAGGATAGAGCTCATTTCTTTACTGACGATATTCAGCATGGAAACTTCTCCCTCCGGCTGGACGATCTGAGAGCTGAAGATGCTGGAGAATACATATGTAAAGTTTACAGTGACCTTTTTACAGTGACGAGGACAGCAGAGACAAGTTTGGAACCACGTAAGTTGATAAATAAAGGATAAAAACAAACAGAACCTACTGAACTGCTACATAACACATAACGATACTAGGGATTCACCAATCTTGATTTCTCATGGCTGATTCCAACTGCGGATTTTTTTGCAGATGCTGATAACAATTGCCCATTTTTTTAAATTGTATTAAATTTTTTAAGCAAGAGACAAGAAAGAATCAAAATATAAGTACATCACGATGTGTATTTGCTATATTGCAGGTAGATCTGTCGCCATTGAAAATTAGAGGCAGCCACTGCTTTTTAATCACAATCCAAACAAAGATGCTAAGTACATGTAGTATAAGCAGGTTTATTAAATTTAAATTAAATAAACAAAAACAGAATTGTCTGAATTTAGCTTTATGAAATTATGCTACATAAAACATATCTACACGAAACGAAAACAGCAGAAGCTCTGAATGAGACGCAGATTCACTTTCTGACAGCAGGTGGCGCTCATGTAACAGCAGCACTATAGTGTTTTCTTGGTTACCGGTGGTGAAAAAAACAGTGCAGCGCTTATAAACACTACTATGCATTATACAGAGGCAAGTTGAAAAGAAAATACCATCTAAACTGCTCTGAAGATAGTCAGTCCCACTTCATATATCCTGCACAGTTTGTTTTTCCTGACCATATATTCTTACAATTACGAAACTGTATAGGGTGAGTTAACAGTAATTTGACAGCCATTGGGTAATTTGTTTATCACATGGTCAACAGTGCTAGAGCAGACTTTTTTTGAGACAACAAACATCTGCCCTCTAATATCCATCTCTTTGACTTCCCTGATGTGCCTCTTTTACACAAAATCATTGCCTGGTTCCTGCTTTACAGTCTATCCTTCTGACAAACTGAACATGTTATATTAACGATGATACTTTACATACACACAACCTGTCACTCACATGAGATCACAGCAAGAGCAAATGACAACAATCCAATGAACCAACCAATTCCAGATGGACAAAATCAAGTCCTGCTCTACATTTTTTTTCTCATTCAAGAAGTCGTTTCACTCGGATCACAAAAGGAAAGAAAAGTCATAGATCTGGATGCAATTTCTGCTTATCCAAATCTTGTTCAGATCTTTGTCTTTTCTTGTCACATCCATTTCTTTCCTTTTGTGATGCATATCTGAATGAAAACAATGTAGGGCAGGACTTGATTTTGTCCATCTGGAATTGATTGGTTCGTTGGATTGTTGTCATTTGCTCTTTCTGTGATCTCATGTGAGTGACAGGTTGTGTGTATGTTAAGTATCAGTGTTAATATATTATTTGTTCAGTTTGTCAGCATATAGAAGGATATACCAGGCAAAGATGTTGTGTACAAGAGGCCCAACAGAGAGGTCAAAGAGATGGACATCAGGTGGCAGATATTTGTCTTTGTCAAATAAAATCTGGTTTGTCATTGTTGGCCATGTGATAAACAGATTGCACAAAGGCAGATGCTGCCAGATTACTGTAGCTCACCCTCATCTGACAGTTTAGTTACAGTAAGAACATTTGGTCAGGAAAAACAAACTGTGCAGGATATAGGCATTATACAGAAATGACATTACTGTGTATGTTAGTGCAAATCATTGGTACACAATTCCTACAGTATTATTGAGAGGCTGTCAGTTAATGACAGTTTCTACTGCCTGATTTGACAGAAAAACTCAGTGGCCTGTACCATGATGGTGGCTATACAAACTCAAGGTTACAGGATTAATTTTAAGCTGAACAAAACCAATCCAATCCAGTTTTGTTGGCACCATGATCATCAACTTTCTCTGTCAACTCAGGCGTTTATGGCGCCATATCAGTGCAAGTGAAAGTTGTGAAGTTAGTTTATATAGTTGATAGTATACAAAAGTATACAGAGACTCAAAAATGTACACTCAAGTCGTGTTTAAAGCTTTATCTATTGATTCAGAATATAACCTGCTGAGCAGGTTAGCCATGGAGCACGCGTTACTATGTATGGACTAAGAAACTTCCAGGCAGGTGTGTTGAGGCAAGTTGGAGCTAAACTCTGCAGGACACCAGCCCTCCAGGACCGAGTTTGGTGACCCCTGCCGTAATGGATCATTTAATCATTTGACAAAGTACAAAAAAAATGTCATATTTAAAAAAGAAAGAGAATGATTGATTTTGGCATTAAATGATATACAGATACAATTGCAATGCCAAATACCATAAAACATAACATTTACTTACTATGGCACACCAGCTATTCTCCCATAGAATACGCTTACATTACAATGTGATGAAGTAACAGTTAAAGTCGCGCACGCGCAGTAGAATGCCAGAACGCTGTTGCCATTACATAGCAGCTGTTGCTTAAAGTCCGTAAGTATGGCGATGGAAAAAAAAAATATATATATATATATATCAATGTATTTATTTATCTGTTTGTTTGTTTGTAGTTATTTCACATTAGAAACTTTGTGTCTGTTCCTTTACAGGATTCAAAGTGAAAGGTTCCTCTGGTCATCAGACGGTTCCTCTTGGAGGTTCAGTGGTTTTGCCCTGTCAGGTTGATGAAAGCTTGTTACAGAAAAGTCTGAAGGTGGAATGGAGAAGAACAGACTCAGAGACTCTGGTTCATCTGTATCAAGACGGTGAGAGTAGACCGAAGAAACAGCACAAAGATTATCATCACAGAGCTCATTTCTCTCCTGAGAAGATTAAAGATGGAAACTTCTCCCTCCGTCTGGAAAAAGTGAGAGCAGAAGATGCTGGAAAATACACATGTAAAGTTTACAGTGACCAGGATTGTGTGCATTCAGCTGACACAGAGGTTGAGATACTGGGTAAGTGAAAGTAGCTGGACCTGCTATTTTACACCTGGTCAATATATGATTTTAACTGAGTGGTTTAGTTACAATATAAACATTGCATTTCCAGATTAAAAAAATAATATTATGATCATTTTAGTTACTTCAGTCATAAATATAATTGTCTGATGCTATGCACCACTGAACTGGTCATATATGAATTATTCAGTTTGAAAGTGTACCAGCTACAGTACTGATAAACTTTTCTGGAGCGTAGAGGCTTTATCAGCTCTTCTGTGGGTTTGTGGTGCTGCAGATGTGAGTGTGTTTGTTGAAGTATCTGAGAGACATTTCATACAAACTTAAACTTAGATTTGAAGTTATCAGATAGTCACCACTGATAAGCTATTACTACTTCTGTAAAGCTGATTTGCAACAGTTGCATCGTGAAAAGCACTATACAAATAAACTTGAATTGAATTTAAAAATAATTGTATTAACAGATATTGCCAAAAAAAAAAAAGTGTAAAACTACAATAATAGATTATTGTGGAGTAAAAACATAAATAACAACTTGGTACAATAGTCTCCACAAAAGATTGTTCAACTCATTAATATCTAGCTAACTGCTATTAAGTCCCTCAAATAATGATTTGCATTACAATAAATACATAAATAACAAGAGGAGAAAACAAACAATAGGCTCTCACATCTTCTGTGCGCTTAATAAATGTTTGATCAAATAACGAGAATTTATACACAAACACAAATCCTTACTGTTCATTTGCCTTAACAGGTATTTCATATTAACCTTATTTATTTATTTGTTATTATTTTTTTAAGGGTTTGATGTTAAATGTTCTCGTCACACACTCGCTCCTCTGGGAGCTTCAGTGGTTTTGCCCTCTTATGGTGATAAACCTTTACCAGTGGAGGGTCTGGTAGTGCAATGGAGAAAAGGATACACTACTGTTCATCTGTATCACAATGGTCAAGCACAGACACAGCACAAAGATTATCAGGATAGAGCTCATTTCTTTACTGAGGAGATTCAACATGGAAACTTCTCCCTCCGGCTGGACGATCTGAGAACTGAAGATGAGGGACGATACACATGTACAGTTCACAATAAACAGAGATCTGT